TCCGGTATGTTGCAGGTTGTTTGAGAGACAGAGTTAGGGACTGGTTGGAGTCAGTCAGTGATTCATTGGGAGCCCCGGGCATCAAGGCTATGACTTGGTCGGACTTTGTGACCAGTTTTAGGTCTGAGTTTGTGTTGGATGTGGAGCTGGAGCAGTTGGACAGAGAGTTTCTAGATGTGAGGCAGACGACTGGGTTGGTGGCGGAGATTACCACCAAGTTCAGGGAGATGGCCTTACTGGTGCCTCGGTATGCAGGTGTGACATCCCTAATTTCTCGACCAGAAAAGACCGATTTGTTTCTTCTTTGTTTTTAAAATCATAGTAGTCTTTTAAAGAAAACAGTTGCGGAATTTGTTCCCAAAACAAAATATGATAAAAAATTATCAAAGCAATTCTTTAAAGAAATGTATATTCATTAAATAACAAAATCTCGGGATGTCATGTTCCGATACAGACACATAAGCATAAACAGAACTTACATTATTTACACTAAAGATTTTACATCTCCTTTAATCTCTCCGTGAAATATATATTCGTATCGATACTTGTGATACAAAGAAAACTGAGTGGGTCAGGCTTGGGAGCCTGGTGAGCATTTAGGGTTTTCAACCCACAATAATATAATTATTATATTCAACCATCAAACAATCAGTCCAATTACCCATCCCCATTATCTTCTTTATTTCTTAGGATTTTACCCTAAGAATTCAACTACCCATCATTCATTCATTCCTAAGGATTGACCTAAGGAATTAGCACAAAATCTATTGCTACATAAGGCGCATCTACCAACATCATCCTTTAAGCGCCTCTGCTAGGATTACATCATACACTATGAGGCGCAACTACCAGGTTTATGACATTCTCTTTTAGGCACATCTGCCGACATTATCCTATAAGCGCATTTGCCAGAATTATCTTATAAGCGTATCTGCTAGTATTATGACATTCTCTATTTAGCGTATTTGCCGACATTATCCTATAAGCGCATCTGCCAGGATTACGACATTCGCTACTTGGTGTATCTACTAATATTATTCTTAAGCGCATCTTTCATACCTCATCATTTTATCACATACCAACTATCTCATCTACCCATGTTCTACCCAACATATTTGTAGATATAAAATACATATACAGTTTAACTCATTTAAAAAAACTATATAAAACATTCATTCAACACCCATATCAAATAAACAACAATATATAAACACATAACACGTATTTTATAACAAATATTTCATATTTATGTGTTAGAAGAAAGTAACCACACATTCACCCAAACATATACTTAATACATTCAAACAATACTTGTATTATACTCGTCTTTATGAAAGGGACTATACACCCACACATATAAACAACTTTATATTATACACATAACACGTATTTCATAGCAAATACTTAATATTTATGCGTTAGAAGAAGGTAACTACACACTCACTTGATCAGAAGATGATCAGACAACACTACAGCTTGTAGAAGTAGTATTCTTCGGTAGATCTGGAAGATTTTTACAAAAACCGGACTCCTCGCGGGCAGAGCTTCAGCTTGGGAGTTGAACTTCTAGGGATCTTCGGGGCCTCAGGACTTGCTTCAGGGCTCGGGAATGATACCAGGGTTTTGGGATAGTTCTTTCACGAAAAACGATGCAAAAACACGAGAAAAAGGGAAGAAATGAGCAAAAGAATCGGCTGCCCTCGACATGCTTTTATAGGGGGATGAAACCCGAATTACGTTGGGCGTAATTCTATGTTACGCTGGGCGTAATGTGGATAAGCCCGGTGACTCCCCGCCTTTGGATAATATCCGAATTTTTATTTAAATTAAATACTTTAATTATTTAATAAACTTCAAAAATTCATATCTTCCTCATACGAACTCCGTTTTCGACGTTCTTTATATCCCCGCGTAGTTGAGACTACGATCTACAACTTTATTTTAGACTTTGTCGGCTAATTTTGACTTTATTATTATTATTTATTTTTAGTAGGCCGGGACAGGAAAACTCCGTTATAAATTCATAACTTCTTCATCCGATGTTCGTTTTCGCTTATGTTTTATCGTTTCACTACTATTAACGAGATCTTGGATTCTCGTTTAGATTGTTTCGTCTAAAAACCGTTCGATCTCAAATCGAGTATTCGGGTTGCATACCGCTAAGTCGAAACTTAGAAAAATCATAACTTCCTCATACGAAGTCAGATTTGGACATTCTTTTTATGCACGCTCATGGTTTAACGAACTCTATGACTTTCATTTAGATTGATAAGGCTAAATATCACTCTAACGTACATTTACTTTTTACGTCATTCAGCGTCGTGCCGGTTCTATCACGAAACTTCGACGGGTCATAACTTCTTTGTTATAACTCGGATTTTGGCGTTCTTTATATGCACGGAAACCTTGTGACACATACCAAAACTTGGTTAAGATTAATCATTCTAAATTATCTTCCATAAAAAAGTTATTTTTGATGCTTATCGTCTCTAAATTGACTCTCCCGGATCTCCGGGCGTTACAGCAGCGGATTAGGAGATGAGGAGGACTAGGTATCACGACTTGTTGAGGGCTGACATCCATAAACATGTCAGCTACTCGGTATGCCCAACCCTGGAGGACATGATTACGAGGGCAAAGGAGAGGGAGATTGACATAGTTCACCTCCGGAAGAGGAAGACGGAGGCCGGACGGGTTATTGAGGTTTTGAGGAAGAAACCCAAGGGATCCGACTCTAGGTCGAAGGGCCAGCAGGGCCGGGGCCGCTGTGGGGAAAGCAACAAGGTGTATGAGGGAGTGTGCAGCTGAGGAAATAATAAACCTAAGTTGATATACTTTGCTCTAACGTACTTGTTAATTTCATTAATTAACTGCCAAAACTCTCCGGTACATAAAATAACGAGATTCATTTTTTCTGAAAAAAATATTTTTTCACTCCATAAAGTCATAGATTTTTGTTTTTTTAAATAAAATTTATTTATATGACACAAAAATAACATCATAAATGTCGGTCAACAAGTCCACATTACAATTAGGAGCGGATCATTTATATGGCCACCCCCCCCCCCTCGGTCCTTGAAATTTGGGTTAGAAACATCTTATATAACATCAAATTTTGTAAATATGGGCATGTTATTGTCAACTTTGGGCTGTCGCCCCTCCTCATCAACTCTCTAATAGACCAAATTCTGAACCAAGTGACAAGTCAAAAGTCAAAATCGATCGTTAGGTCGTCCCTAAACCTTCATAGTCCTGCTTCCGTCCCCATATTTAATTCCAATCGCATGGACCGCTTGTTGCTGGATGCCTGCACCTGGACACCATTACAACACCACTGTGATTTGTGAAGTTATGTTGTTATCCATAGTTCACCGGAAATCAGGTATGGTCTTTTTTTTTCTTCTCCAGTTCTCTCTTTTTCTATTGATTGAAATTTGAAAGAAAGAAAGAGCACAAATATGTTGACTTTGATCGAATTTAGAGTAAAAGCTGCCTGTTGAGAGTTGACAAAACCAAATACAAGCAGTAGTGAGTTTATGTTTAAGTATGGTGGGTCACTTGACCTACTTTTTTATTTTTGTATAACAAGTTATATAAAACTAAAAATTGTGACCTATCTAAAAAATACAAACGAACCACCTTAATATCTTTGGCAATAAAAAATATATATAAATTATATTTCTAAAGTCCATAAATTTTAGGGCAAATGTCATATTTGCCCATCAAACTTTTCGTGTTTGTTTTAAAAGATCCCCAAACCTTTTTTTTTTTTGCACATTAAAGAAATATACTTTCATTTGACCATTTAATTAGATCCCTTTACCGATTGCAAAAAGTTTATCCCCTATTTTCGTGACATGGACACCACCGTGGAATATTACTGTTGAAATCTTGATCCCCAAGAATTGCCAAGTCATTGCTAATGGTCCCCTTATAAAACCGTCTTCCCCTAAATCCGTCTTCCCCACCACTTTGTTACCCTAATCCGTAACATTCACATCACCGACTTCGCTTTTTTTTTCCCACCTATAAATCAAGAAGATGGCCTCAGAACAAAACTTCTCCTATGGTGGTTTCAGAGCTTCGGAACTAGACTTACCAACTGATTACGAACTTCATGCCATGGAAACGCAAGTGCAGATTGAGGAAATGTGAGATGAGATGCGACAACAGCTTGGCGAGTTTAAGGAGGAGATACGCAACTTGAAAAGGAAAGTGACCATGATGGGTGTTGTTAGAGTTGTAGTGATGTCGTTGATTGGGGTTTGTTTTTGCGTCGAATGCAGTGGATGGGGATTTTGGTGGGTGTAGTTTAGTTCGTAGGTAGCACGATGGCGATTAGTCTCTTTTGGGTTATCCAGGTTGTCGAAGGTTGTGTCTTTTTATCTAATTTCGTCATCTGCTAGTATATATATATGTATGTATTAGGTTATGTGTTGTTGGTTGTTTTGAATAATGGTGCCCATTGAGGATGTAATGGTGTTTAGAACCAAATTTTTGGGGGGTTATTGTTAAGACAATAACCTCAGTTGTAATGGATGAATGAAATGAAATGTAGATCCTATTATAACCTTTGTTTTGCTTTGCATATGATGTTATGTTTTGTAATGAAATGTACCAAATGTGAAGGTCGTATATCACAGGACTTCAATTTCCCCTTGAAGTATGGTTTGTAATGAAATGTACCAAATGTGAAGTTCCCATTATAACCTTATGTGGAAGTACATTTCTATAATTCAAGTCCATTGTTATATGGAATTGCATTGGAAGTACAATTATATATAAAAAAAAAAGATTCATGTTATGTTTTAAACTAAAGAAACTAACATTCATGTTACAAACAGAAAACAAACATCCATACATTCATTAATATCATAACTTGGTGTTTTAAAGACACGTTAACATTCATGTTACAAACAGAAAACAAACATCCATACATCCATACATTCATGTTATGTTTTAAGACCTTGCACCATAACCAACATACTCCAAAAACATCTTTAATCCAAGTCCATTGGTTTGCTTGATGTATCACCTTCACCGTTTTTTGCCTGCAACCTTTTTGCCAACTTTTTATTTAGTATCCTATCTGACTTTTTTCTTAATTTCAATGTATCTACTTTTTTACCATACTTCTTAGTCACACCACTTGTTGACTCACATTCACTTTCTCCCATTTTGTAACCAATTCCACTTCCAGTATCACTTTCACCCTTTCCCTTCCCATTTTTCCCTTGACCCTTCCTTTTCTTTAATGCACTAGATTCACCTTCACCTTTAGCCTTCCTCTTTTTCACCTGACTTTTTTGGGGCTTTGACACCACATCACAGGTTGACTTATTGTGGCCTAATTTCTTACAAACACCACAGAACATTGTTTTACCTGCCTTGGATACTCCGTGTGATCCAGTAAGCTCAATACGGTCCCTCTTTCTCTTAATAGTGGGTCTCCCTGGCATCTTCCTTTTCAATGGTGGCAAAGGTGGTATGTACTCTGATAGGGGCCACATTGCACTCCCATTCATACTTCAAATTTTGTACTTGTATGTGTTCATATATATACAAGCACGATATAAAGGATAAACAAATGCCTCTACATCTCTATTTACATAACTAATGGCTTCCACTGAGTGTACACAACCATACCCATTCATTTGCCAGATCCTAAAAGAGCATATTTTCATTTCCAGATCAACTCCAGAAGACTCTACTAAGTTTCTTGTTTCAAATGTATTCAAGCCACTAGGAAGCACTTGCCAGTACCTACAAATAATCAAAGTTAACAGGGGTAATTAAAGTAGCTTGACTGGATATTAAATTCAATTATGGTGAATAATGTAGTACCTTTGTTGGATATTTAATTCATTTAGGGCAATCCTTATGTTTGGACATACATCAAAATGTCCCCATCCACTTCCTTTCTGCCTCAAATTACACATCCTCTGCATCACATATAGTCTAATATCCTCCAACATTGTAATAATTGGCTTCTTCCTAGCCTCCTATATAACATTGTTAAAGCTTTCAGACAACCCATTCTCAACTGCATCACACCCCCTTCCTAATTGAAAAAATGCTCTTGACCATGAGTTTGGATTCCTTCCCATCAGATGCACATAAGCAGCAGGACTAATCATTCGAATCTCTTTCATTGCAGAATTGAAAAGAGGTTCAGTTGAGGCCTTACAAGCCTTCCAAAATAGTTTCTCATACTGAGCCCCAAGGAATTTCTTCTTGAAATTGGAAAGAACATGCTTGGCACATTGCCTATGTTCTATCTCTGGAAATAAATCTTTCACAGCTTCAATTATCCCCTGCATTTATATCATCATAATTTTCAGAATTATATCACATTTGAAAGAAATTAGGTGTGACATTATAAAGTAGAAACATCCCTTATGTTGATTTCACATCAATGATCTACCAAACCCACCTTCAAGATGCAGATATTATTACAAGTTTTCTAAGAACCATTTCCAGTTGTCTTTATTTTCAACACAAACTACAACCCAAGCTATTTGGTATATATATGATTGTTACCATCCCTACCAACAACACATAATAATTGACCAGTATACATTCCTTTTAGAAAACACCCATCTAAGTTTATTATCCCTCTACAACCACTACTCCAACGCTCCTTTAGTGCATGAAAACATATATATATATATATATATATATATATATATATATACATATACATATATATACATATATATACATATATATACATATATATATATATACATATATATATACATATATATATATACATATACATACATATATATATATATATTCTGCTAAAGTAAGTTTTCCTATATGGCATAGAGTTCACAGACAACTTGACTCTTGACCCTGGATTAGACCTTTTTATCTCTTCGCCATAGGACCACAACTTTGCATAATTTTCCACTATGGTACCTTCAACAAGAGACATTGCATGTTGCTTAGCTATCCTACATTGTCCCATACTAATCTCTATGCCAAATTTAGTCTTTACTTCCTCTTTTAACATCCTAACATTGAATTTCTGATTCTCAAGCACTTCCGGGGTGAAATGACTACCAATCCATCTGTAATTAACAATTGACCATAATTTAAAAATTTCTTGCACAATTGTGGTCAATGATAAGGGACTTGATTTGGAAAGAGTGCTCCTCACTCATCCATGATTCCCAAAGCCTAAATGTGCATTGACCATTACTACACTTAACCAATAACCTTTTACTGTCGTTTTTTTTCAAATTACAATTGATATCCATTTGCTACAACATAATTACAAATCATAAATTTTAATTGTTTAGGGTTGGTGAACCTCATACCTAGAATTGGCAACTACTTCTTCCAAGGTATGTATTCATTAAACATCAGTTTTCCTTTCACATCTAGGACATTATCATCTTCATCATCTTTTGGATCACCTTCTGTGGCCTCCTCATTTCCTTTACCCTAACTTACTCCTTCATAGGTTACTCCTTCCATGTTGATTTCTTGTGGACTGTTAATTTCAGTTGGCTCAATACCTTCTTCCCCCTTCGATTGACATGTTTGACTTGACATAACAATTATCCTTATTTTCATTTTCATTTGCCTTCGTTACATGCACAGTTGTACCAAAATGGTCCATGTAAACAGAAACTTGTACTCCACATTCATAAGCAATATCTATAAATTCTTGATATTGACGTTCATTCGAAATCAAGGTTAAACCTTTTGGGATTTGTAAATCGGGTTGACAATAATAAACTTTCTCACACTTCTCTTGTGTGAATCGTTCAAGAAAACCCACAAACTCATTATATGACATACCAGCAAAATTGACGTTCTCGAACACATGATGAACACCATCAGAATAGCAAAAAGGTTTGTTGATGAACACACCTTGGAAATGAACTTTGATTGACAGGAATATAGTCATCGATCTTCAGTTACTATGGTGGGACGATGAGGGTTTTCTTCAATGATGAGGGGTTTCTTCAATGAGGGGGAGGGGATTGTATAACGCAAACGGTTTACTTTATAAAAATTTAATATAAGTATAACACATGTGGCCATTTCATTAAATGATGTATCACCGACATTTTCCCTCGTGGCATGTATATTACTTATCAACCAGGTAGAAGATAACATAAGGGTATTTTAAAACAGAGAAATGAAAGTATATTTCTTTAATGTGCAAAAAAAGTTTGGGGACCTTTTAAAACAAACACGAAAAGTTTGATGGGCTAATATGACATTTGCCTTAAATTTTAATTGCCCAATATGTTTTAATGTATTATCCATTGTGCATAGCCAAATACAATTTACAATAAAAAAAAATTGAATCACAAATCAATCGTTTCACAGCACGTTAACCTTCGATCTTTAATTTTTCATAATCTCCGATCCAATTTGTAACCGTCGGTAAATATATTCAACTTTGTTAACTTTGTAAAAACTAATTAAACCATGTGGAAATTTTATTTCCGATTCCAATATTCCATGAGCATCAAAAAGTTGACAAAGATCATTATTGTAATTCGTGAATTGAATATTCATAATTCAGTTGTAGGTTTAATTGCATTCACTCTTGGGTTTCATTTCTTTTCTTTATATAATTATTGTTTGTTAATATTTATTCCATAAGCATCAAAGACAAAGCTATCGAATGTTTGCTAATACTTAGTGAATTTATTTTTCATTTTTTTATTGTTCCATGAGTTCAAACTAGGTTTTTTATTGTTTTAAAATTCAATGTAAATTAATTATTTGATTGTTGTTTATATTGAAATCAAAATCAAGAATGTCTTTAAAAATAATTTGATTTCTTTGTTTAGACAATTCGATCCAATCAAAACCACTATCGGCTTCATTGTGAACTATGTGATTTTACGTTCTAGACTCGCCACTGAATACAAGTACCATGTTACCTAACCTTTCAAAAAGAATACAAATTTGATGAAGCCATATTTGAGATTTAACCGATTTATGGGAAAGGCTAGAACTATTTCTACATATAATAACAAGCTTAAAGATCTTTAAATTTGATATCATGGTATGCATTTCAAATTGTAGAAGAGTTGACTTCAAGAATCAAGAAGATCAAAAAGTCTTCGATTTAAGTATATAGACAAAACATACAGACACGGTTCCATTACCATTAGAACCTCATTCTAGAAGTAGGAATTCGTTTAAAATTATAAAATTATTTTTTGTTCAAATCAATCAATTTCTTAATAGATTTAGTTGAACAAAATATCATTTATTGAGTTATCTATCTACACATAACCCACTGAAACTTTTAATGAACTGTTGCAGTTTTTAGTTAATTTTTTTCTAGAACAAACTCATGAGTGATGGGTCTTGCTTCCGGTTATCTAGAATAAGATGAAAAAAAATGGTTTGTTGTATAAGAAAGATAATTTTAGTTTATAATACTTTCGGCCCTCAAAATTAATTGTTCAAGTTCTGCCATTGCTTACAATTTCGTCGAGCATTCCTGTCATTCTACAGAGCCCACATAACTACAACTATCATTTTGCAGAGCATTAAACTGGGAATTAATTAGTCTGCTATTTTGCAGATCCCGTAGAGGGAGTTCTGTGAAACTATTCTTCAGGGTTGATCCTTCTCGGAACGGTTCTTCATTTTTTTTGCCACATTGATTTCAGAGGTAAAGTTAATTCCGCGGAGCCTTCGAAGATAGCTTTGTAGAATCTATATCTATATACGAAAAAAAAAAAAAAAAAAAAAAAAAAAAAAAAAAAAAAAAAAAAAACTTTTTTATGTTTATATTTAGAAAAACACCCCCAAAAAATATCTATTATGGGCATAATCCCTTATATGTTTCTATCGTTAGGAGAAAAATATTGGTAAATATTTGGTTAACTATAAATACTCGTAGCTTGCATTTGCATAAATTGCATTGGAAGTACCTTTTTCTCTTACCTTACTCGAAAGATCATCAAAAGTTAGGTTATAGATTTAGGAATTGATGGTTGGATGGAGCAAACTCCAATACATATTTCAATGAATAGGACAAATAAGTGCGGTTGAATGTTGGTAGATGTTCATGCATTGTCATTAATCAAATTTTATTAAAATGTTTTGTATATAATTGAATGTGTGGATGCCGTTATTTTAAACATATATAATTAGATAAATAACAGTAAATGAAATATATATCAAAGAAAAATATGATAACATAATAGATAGAGCTTTTTTTTCCTACGTATACCAAACACGATTCTTTTGAGATTTTAAAGTCATACGTTCCTGTCAGTATAAAATAGAGGAGCAAAATACTCTCTTAATTGAATTAGTTTTTATTTTAAAAATCTATTTGAATTGGTAATGATTTGTACAAAATAATTTTTTTTCTATACATAATAATTTATGTTTTTAAAGACTTCTCAATCCAACAATTTAAGACACAAATTGTTATATATGGAAAAAAAAAATTATTATATACGAATCATCTCTCATTTGGATTAGATCGAGATTTTGGATAATAGTTTTCGTTTAAGACTTTGGAGGTTTTGCTTGGATTTTTCATAGGGTTTGCATAACCAATATAACCATAGTTTCGGATTTTGTTTATCCAACTTTAAAAAAACAATTGTAAATAAACCTATAAAAATATTCACTATTAATATCAATTTTTAATAAGATAAAATCTGGTTTTTCCAAACCGATTAAAACTCAAAGGTGCTGTTTGGATCATAGAATTTTGCTGAAGAAATTGGAATTGGAATTGGAAAATGAATCTATCAAGAATTTGAATCCAATTCCATATGTTGTTTGGTTGGCAAGAAATGGAATTGGAATTAAGTCCAGATTCTGTTTGGTTCGCAGAAAATGGAATTGAAATTCATGTAAAATGACATAATTACCCTTTTGCATGTTTTGCTTAATTTTACTTTGTTTTCTAAATTATATGGTAAGATACATTATGAAAACTATAAAAATGGTAAAATTTTGGCGGTGGTGGCAGTAGTGGTGAGAGCAGTGGCGGTGGTAGCGACTACAGTGGTTGGTAGTGACGACGGTGGTGGTGCCATTCATTATGGTGAAGAAAGTGGTGGTGATGGTGGCAGTGGCAGCTGGTGGCGACAGCGATGGTAGTGATGGTGCCGGTGGTGGTAGTGGCGGCTGGTGGCGGTGGGTGGTGGCGGCGGAGGTAGTAGCAGTCGGTAGTGGCGGCGATGGTGGTAACGACGATGATGGTAATGGTGGTGGCGCCGGAGGTAACATTAATTGAGTTCCCCATCACTTGGAATATCTAAATTTCAGTTATTTTCACCATTATATAGTTGATGAGATGTATTTAAGAAATAATTTTGAGATTTGGTTTGAATATAAAACCGAAACCGAACTCGGAAACCAAAGTTTAAAACCGATGAACTGAACCCATTGGTTGGGTTTCAGTTTGGGTTCGGTTTTAAGTCAAAACCAACCCATGAACAATCTTACCACTAATCTTGGGATACGTACTATTAAACATACCACTCCACATCATTTTTTTAATTAAATTTAATTCAAAAATACATAAAAAAAAAAAAAAAAAACATATATTTTTTAATACTAGTTTTTCATTAAATTAAAATACCACATTACATTTAAAAAAATTACATTAGTTAAAATAAAAGAATAAAAATAACAATTAAAAAAGATTACATTAATTTAAACTAGTTTTTCAAAAATAAAATACCGCATTTTTTTAAGCAATACATTTTGAGGAATCCTTAAGTTTTAGCCAAACTTTGATGTGATTAAACAATTTGTGGTTTGTGTCTTCATATTGATGTATGGCCACAACAAACGGCTCATCTTTGTGTACATTGATTATAACAAAGTTATACATTCCATCGAACTCACGACATTTAACCCTCATATCGCAAAATTTCGAACATATTTGATCAAGACCACGACTTCGACAACCCATTAAATAATAGAAAACGTTTCCAATTTTTACCCAAAAATCACCCAACATTCGAGTATCTGGCTCTTCTGAAACCGTCACTCATGGTAGTACTAAGTTCTCATCTTCCTCTTCTGACCCATTCATAATTTTGGGAGCCATTGCTTTTGAATGATCAAGCAAAACAAATGTTTGATTGTGAATAAAATAAGAGAGCAATAGAAAAACAAGACTTATGAGCCTTCTTCAG